TTTATTTATCTTCGATATTCTATTGATTGAATCTTGGTAAAAGATGATAGCCAATTTGATTAGTTATATTTCAGATATATATTTCATGTAATAAATATTTTATTATTAATAGCTCTTAGCCAATTTGATTTGGTTATATTTGATATATTATTCATTATTAAATAAAAGGCATATTACTCTTCGGATATTCTATTGATTGAATCTTGGTAAAAGATGATAGCCAATTTGATTAGTTATATTTCAGATATATATTTCATGTAATAAATATTTTATTATTAATAAGATGCATTTATTTATCTTTTATATTCTATTGGTCGAATCTTGGAAAAAGATAAGGTCCGTGAGACTATACTGCTTTACGAAATAAATTATAACGTGGTTATAAGTATGAGTTTTATGTTTGCATTCAATATCTCTAAATATTCCTGGTTAATGTTCTTCTCATTATTAGACGATTATTAGAGCTGTAGAGACTAGTATATGATGTCCTTTCCTTAGGAAAGCAATTATTCTCATAAGCTGAGATATATGTGATATCTAGAACTAATATGTAGGTGCTTGTTACTTAAAAAAGTCCACTGAATTGACCTGCATGTGAATTCCATATGGAGAGTTACATGTGTCTATGGAATACTCAAGTGATGATTGTGTAAGGGATCCTTTGACTTGAAATTACTAAGTTATCTTGTATGGGGATGACTATGTTTTGATTCTTTGTTCACATTATCCTTTGACTTGAAATTACTAAGTTATCTTGTATGGGGATGACTATGTTTTGATTCTTTGTTCACATTATTCATTCACGAATAATAAGCAATGATTTTTTTGGATATAGTAGCAACTGTGTGGAGATACTTGTGTAATTAAGAGAGGATTCGTCACCCTAGGTAAATCAGGGAAAATGTTCTAATTGTTCTATTAGTATTGATTAAGAAATCCTTGCACAAAGAAGAATGAAATTAGCAAATTAGATTTGAAATTTCATTCAAACAATTAATGCCTAAGATTAGGAGAACTAACATGATTTAGTAAAGTAGACACACTACATACCTAATTACTAAATCAAAACATTAATGATGAAGGGATATTAATTACACTGATAAATCATACACTAAAAGGTTAAGTCAAACCACTTTGACTTTCCAAATATTTGGACAGTTTTGACATGTTACTAGACAATGTACTTGACCTTTAAATATTAATTAATTAATTTAATTTATATTTGTTGCCAATATATTCGGAACTTAGAATGCCACACACATAAGAATAAATCTAAGAAAGTGAAAATGAGAAATTGCATCAAGTATGACTTGATTACAAATTAGTTTTGGGATATTAAGGGCAAAATTATAATTTATATTTAATTACAATTTTACCTAAGTTATTAAGTATTGATTTAATTGAAATGAAATAAGGAATCTCTGCCAAAGTAGTTGTTCTCAATCCCTTTATTCCAAGATCATATATAATTGAGTGGCTCGAGCATCTGTTCTTTTCTTAATAGGTTAGGTCTTGAAGAGCCTTGTCAGCCATAGCCATAGTCCGTGGGACTCTTTGCCCCAATCTCATATTCTCCCCCCGATGGGTGGTCGAGTTACTATGCTTTTCAATTGAGTGGCATTTCGATCTGTGCCTACTATGCTTTTCAATTGAGTGGCATTTCGATCTGTGCCGATTAGTCACTTTGATCGCTCATCCATGAGCTGGCGCTTTCATTCAACTAATCCCTAGAGTTGGTTTGCTTTATGCGAGGAGTATCAGAAAGCTCCTATTCTTCCTAAGCCCTCAGAACTACTTTCCCGGAGAGGTAAGCATCATTCCACCAATTGAAGTCATTCTTCAATCCAAAGAAAGGGAATCACTTTGTAACAATAAATCCGATTGTTCTTCCGAAGGCCTTGGACTCCTTCTTCGTCAATCTGAGACAGCAGCAAATTCAATGGCTGCTGATGTATCAATAGCTTCTTCTTCTATAAGATCTACTGAGGATGATATAGGAGCTCCTAGTTCGAAAACTAGAGCTAGAACGAAGGATGGCACGAATCGCTCAAATGCAGAGATTGGCCAAGAGTTGGCGAATGCCTCCTTTTGTTCTCATTATGTCATTAAGAGTCGACAAGATAAATCAAAGCTTCTTGAATAACTCTTTCTACGTCAATTTCTTATTCAATAGTTCTTCCAATAGTTAAATCTCGCCTGGTCTTCTTATTCTCATGAGGATGTCACGTGCTTTCCTAAATCCATTTCACCGGGTGTTCACTCAAACTCCTTAATCATTGATATTTTAATTATGATTTATTTATTTAAATAGTTAAATAAATAAATTAAATTAATTAAATTGAAAATCCTATTACTATATGTATTAGTATAAATAAATAAATTAAAATTAAATTTAAATTGGAAATCCCTAATTACTATAATAGTGATGCATAATTGTATTAGGGATAATTTGAATTTGTTAATAATTGTTTACATAAATAAATAGCGCACAGTATACGTATTTTTTAGTATACTTATTTTATATTAAAATGTTTAAATAAACTAATTGTAATATTTATTTATAGACATAGATAGGGTGTTCAATATATAAAAGAATTTAAGAATAACAACTCCTAAATAGTAATTAGTTTTCATGAACGCACAGAACTGAAATATAGATGCGTGAACGATATGCACTAGCATCATTCATAACTCCCTAATCTCTCAACCCTCTAATAAGTTTTTAGAGTTTATTCATATTGCTCCATTCGTGTAGATACTACTTGGAGTGATGGGGAAACAACTGGAGCTGACTTTATGGAGTTTGCAAGCGAATCTACCGTCGCGTGATACCGATTAGATTCTCCGAAGAATCGTGCAAAAGGAATGTTCTTCTTTAAATAATGTATTATTGTTTTAGGATCGATTGTAGATGGCTGGATCGACCGATGTTGATATAAATTATTTAATAAAAATAATTATCTATATCTGCTAAACTGCAATTATGTATGATTAATATTAAAGCCCACAGCATCTTCTTATTTATTTAAATAGTTAAATAAATAAATTAAATTAATTAAATTGAAAATCCTATTACTATATGTATTATGATTTATTGATTTAAATTGTTTACATAAATAAATAGGCACATATATATTTTAGTTATACTTTATTTATTTAAAATGTTTAAATAAATAATTGTAATTAATTTATTTATGACATAGGGTTTTCATATATAAAATTTAAGATACAACCTAAATAGTAATTATTTTTCATAACCACAGAACTAAATATAGAGCGTACGATAGCTAGCATCATCATACTCCCTAATCTCTCAACCCTCTAAAATAGTTTTAGAGTTTTTCAATTGTCCATTCGTGTAGATACTACTAGAGATGGGACACTTGGATGACTTATGGTTTGCAACAATCTAGTCGCGTGAACCGAAGTTTCGAAGAATCTGCAAAAGAGATATTCTTCTAAATAATTTTATTGTTTTAATCGATTAAATGGATCACCGTTGATATAATTATTTTATAATAATTATCTTATTCTACTGCATATTATTAATATTAAAACCCAACAGCATCTTCCAAAAGCCTCTAAGTTAGGTGCTGGACAAGCTAAGATGGGACTATCATGGGGTTGCAGGGCCTAAATTGATCTCAGGGTAGTAGTTTTTTTTTTATTTTTCTTGGGGTTTCGTCCCTTCACTTGTATCAAAGAAAAAAGAAGAGTGTTTCTGTATAGATACATAATTTTTTATTTCTGTACACTAATTTATCCTGATCTATATAAAGTAAGAGAATTTAAAAATTCTAAATTCAACTTAAAATATTATTAAATTATATTTTTTAAAATATATGACTCATATTGCGGATATTCAATATCCAAATTCATTTATTTAATTAGTAAAATACTTATTAAATTACTTTTTTTTTTTCAAAAAGCTTTTTTGAATATCAAACCTATGACCTAAAAGTGTATTATTAAAGTAACAAAACTAAGCCATGTAAATTGCCATATTAAATTAATCAAATAAATTATTTATTTCCTTTCAAAACAATATATTTATTTTAATATTTTATAATGATTACATTTTCTCTCACTTATTGTATTACTTTTTATTCAATATTTACACTGTTCATAGAAATTATAATACAATTTTATTGTTCTCAAATTAAATATTTTTCTCTTATTTACTAGAATAAGTTTATTCATTATTCTCACCTTTTTTACAAGATTAAAAAATATATTTTTTAAATTTATCAAGTGAAAAATTTATTGAAAATACTCTAATATTATTGGTATAAAAATAACAATCATAATTTAAAATTTTTTATTATTTATTTTATTTTAAAATATTCGTTGTAAAAAATATATTTGTTAAATTTATCAAGTGCAAAATTTCCTGAAAATCACTCTAATATTATTAGTATAAAAATCATAATCACTATTTAATTTTTTTAATTTTTATTTGATTTAAAATATTGTAATATAATATTTATTTTTCAATTATTTGCTAAAATATTACATTAGTGAATTTAATTATTTTAATAAAATTAACTATTTCTATTTTGATTCACATATATGATTTTTAACAAAAATTATTAATTTTAAACTAATACATTTAATATTTAATATATTTAATTAAATATCGGTGGTTGAACGCCCTTTAATCCTCACCTCTATTTTTTACCCGACTGGATCTAAAAACCTCCTCATTTTTTACATAAATATATATAATATTATTAATTATATATTATATTGGGCTAGATAGGAACATAGATGATCAAGCCTATTTTATAAATCTGAGATTTACTATGGATTCACCTCAAGCCTTAAAGAGAAAAAATCTTCATAAAATTTAGAAATTAATCCAGTGGGTAGAATAAATAAATAAATAAATAAATAATGGAGTAAATAACAAAGGAAAAGGAGCCTATAAGAAAAGTAAACATATTAAATGCTGATAGAGCAGTGTCTGTCTCTATTCCCGCCATTCACGGCAATGTTTGAATAATTCTGCCATAAAATTCCGTGAAAAGCCAAATCTTGAATATGATGATATCCACAAGAGAATGAAGAAGTGAACGGAACAGTATTGTATCAAGAAGAAGAATAAGAATTGAGAAATATGGAGAAGTACTTGAGAGAGAACTTCGACGTTGAGGCTAAGAGACCTTCTGAAGAAGCTCTAAGGCGATGGAGAAATGCTGTTTCTGTCGTCAAGAATCCTCGTAGAAGGTTTCGTATGGTTGCAGATCTTGCCAAACGTGCCGAAGCCGAAAGAAAACGTAAAAAGCTTCAGGTTAGGTTATATTAATTACTACATTCCTTTCATTTCTTCTTCTCCTTTTTTCTCTTTTCTGTTATTTATAACTGATAAATACCGTCTCCTTCCAAAAATTATGACTGATATGATCAATTTATATGTTTGTATATATGATTTGATGCATTTTTGAGCAGGAAAAGATACGAGTTGCTCTTTACGTGAAAAAGGCTGCATTGCATTTCATTGATGGTATGATCAATTCATGCCTTTCTTTTTTTCTCAATTGTAACTGAGCAAAGTGAGGCTTTTAGTTGTCTCCTAGCTAGACTACAAGGCTTTTTGAGTTGAAACCAGTGTTGAGCAGTACAACCAATTGAAACAAGTCGGTTTGATTTGGCTTTTAAAATTTTCTTCGGTTTCCATAAAATAATTTTAAAAGAAAATGAAAATGTTCGGTTCGGATTGATTTTAATATATAAAAAATGAAGAACTTAAAAGCCTAAAACCAAATTGAACCAAACAACCAAACAAATTAAATTTAACCCTGTATACATATAAGTTGGATCCCATTTTATGAATAATTCAGTTTGATACGATTTTATTTATATAAAAATTCAATTTATTCGGTCCATACTGATTCAATTCGGTTTGACCAAATGCTCACCATCTGCTAGGAACCTTATCTACAAAAGCAAAAAGAAAAAAAAAAAAAAAGATTAGTTCTTCATTAATCATCTGGTTGTGATAATTTATTATTACATGCAGCTGCTAATCTAGTTGAGTACAAGCTATCAAAGGATGTAAGGCAAGCTGGTTTTGGAATTGACCCAGATCAACTAGCTTCCATAGTTAGATCCCATGATTCCAAGGCCTTAGCATTGCATGGAGGAGTTGAAGGATTGGCTAGACATGTATCTGTCTCTTTAAATGATGGAATTTCCACAAATGATATCTCTATCAGGAAAAACATATTTGGCCTTAACCAATATGCTGTGAAACCTTCTAGGTCTTTCTGGATGTTCGTTTGGGAAGCTTTGCATGACCTAACACTAATCATACTCATGGTTTGTGCTGCCATTTCTATAGGTGTTGGTATTGCCACTGAAGGGTGGCCTAAAGGTATGTATGATGGGCTTGGAATAATACTTTGCATTATTTTAGTAGTAATTGTCACTGCAGTTAGCGATTACAAGCAATCATTGCAATTTAAGGTATTGGATAAGGAGAAGAAGAACGTAATTGTTCAGGTAACTAGAGAAGGTTGCAGACAGAAAGTTTCTGTATATGATTTAGTGGTTGGTGATATTGTTAATCTAGCTATTGGAGATTTAGTTCCTGCTGATGGTGTTCTTATAGTAGGCCACAGCTTATCAGTAGATGAATCAAGTTTATCGGGTGAGAGCGAGCCGGTGGATGTTAATAACAAGAGGCCTTTTCTGCTATCAGGAACAAAAGTGCAAGATGGGTCTGGTAAAATGCTTGTCACAGCAGTTGGTATGAGAACAGAATGGGGTAGATTGATGGTTACGCTCAGTGAAACAGGAGAAGATGAGACACCATTGCAAGTGAAGCTAAATGGAGTTGCAACAATTATTGGGAAAATTGGTTTAGCTTTTGCAATAATGACGTTTTTGGTTTTAATGGGAAGGTTTTTAATGACTAAGGCACGAAATAACGAAATCATGAAATGGTCTGCGAGTGATGCATTGACTGTTCTGAATTTCTTTGCTATTGCAGTTACTATAATTGTTGTTGCAGTTCCTGAGGGACTTCCTTTAGCAGTGACATTAAGTCTTGCATTTGCAATGAAGCAATTGATGAAAGACAGAGCTTTAGTGAGGCATTTATCTGCATGTGAAACAATGGGTTCTGCTACTTGCATCTGTACTGATAAAACTGGGACACTGACCACAAATCATATGGTAGTGAACAAAATATGGATATGTGAAGAAACGAAAACAGTAAAAAGCGATGACATATTGTCCTCTATCTCCAAAGATGTGGCAAGAATCCTTTTGCAGTCTATATTTAAGAATACTGCCTCAGAGATAACGAAAGGGAAAGACGGGAAGACTAATATTATGGGGACCCCAACAGAGACAGCAATTTTAGAGTTTGGATTGCAATTAGGGGGTGACATTAAAATACATAGCAAGGATTCTGAGGTAGTGAAAGTTGAGCCATTCAATTCAGTCAAGAAAAAGATGTCTGTGCTTGTTTCTCTACCTAATAATCGTGGGTTTCAAGCATTTTGCAAAGGAGCTTCTGAAATTGTACTGGAAATGTGTGACAAGATAATCGCTAAGGATGGCAAGCCAGTTGGAATGTCGCAAGAGAAGAAAAGTAAAATCACACGTGTTATAGATGATTTTGCCTGTCAAGCCCTGCGAACTCTATGTCTGGCTTACAAAGATGTAGAAAACATTTCTAAAGAAGATTGCATTCCTCAAGAGAACTATACATTAGTGGCTGTTTTTGGAATTAAGGATCCAGTAAGACCTGGTGTAAAGGAGGCTGTCAAGACTTGTTTAGCCGCAGGGATTAATGTTCGTATGGTTACTGGAGACAATATCAATACAGCAAAAGCCATAGCTAGGGAATGTGGCATATTAACACACGATGGCTTAGCAATTGAGGGACCGGATTTTCGTGGTAAAAGCCCACGGGAGATGAAGGAGATAATACCAAAACTTCAGGTCATCTTATTTGCATTCTGTTTCATTTATAATTTGCAGAATGTAGTCTCACTTGTTATGAAATTAAAATGTTTAACCTGTGCATATATACAGGTTATGGCACGCTCATCGCCTTTAGACAAGCATAAATTGGTAACCCAATTGAGGAATGTCTTTAAAGAAGTTGTGGCAGTGACTGGTGATGGGACTAACGATGCTCCAGCTTTGGCTGAGGCAGACATTGGGCTTGCCATGGGAATAGCAGGAACTGAGGTTGGTAAACTGTTGCCTAAAAATTAAAACCCATTGAATCATCATTTGAAGCAAATAAGTATATCTATTTTCCTATTGCCTACAGGTTGCAAAAGAAAATGCCGATGTTATAATAATGGATGACAATTTTACAACCATAGTCAATGTGGGAAGATGGGGAAGATCAGTTTATATAAACATCCAAAAGTTTGTACAGTTTCAGTTAACAGTCAATGTGGTTGCTTTAATGATCAATTTCATTTCAGCATGTGCATCAGGTTTTTTTTTTTTTTTTTTTTTAGTTTGTAGCAGTTTCAGTTAACAAGTCAATGTGGTTTGCTTTAAAATGATCAAATCTTCATTTCAAGCATGTGCATCAAGGTTTTTTTTTTTCTTTTTTTTTTTTTTTTTTTTTTGGGTATATTTATACAACAATTGACTCCTAACAAATGGAAAGTAAAATTCATTTTTTAATTACTAGGTGATGCTCCACTTACCACTGTCCAACTGCTATGGGTGAATTTGATAATGGACACTCTTGGTGCATTGGCATTAGCCACAGAACCTCCTAATGATGGGCTGATGAAAAGACCTCCAATAGGCCGAAATGTAAATTTCATTACCAAGATCATGTGGAGGAATATTATTGGACAAAGCATCTACCAAATCGTTGTGCTTGTGGTACTCCAATTTCACGGGGAACGGCTTTTGAAACTCACAGGTTCAGATGCCAGAGAAACACACAACACTTTCATATTTAATACCTTTGTGTTCTGCCAGGTTAGTGTTTTTCTTTATTTTTTCACTCAAAGCTTAATTTAAAGTTAAGAGAGGCAAAAAAAAAAAAAAAAATTCAAGAATTAAGGAGGGCAAAATTGAAAAATTTACTATTTTAAAAGGTAAATAAAAATTTTTAATATGTTTACATGGTAATTTTAAAAAACTTGGTTAGGAGGGTGGGGGCATCCCCTGGGCCCCCTCCATCGGTCATTGCGTTGAAGGTATACTCGAGTTCAAGCTCACTCAAGCTTATCTGAACTTGCAAACTTAAGCTTGTACTTTGCTCGTCCATAGTTTATAGTTAAAATATATATTTATATATTAGTTTATAGTTTAAATATATAATTTATATATATATATATATATATATATATATATATATATCATTTTTAACAGGTGTGAACACGAGTTGGAACTCGACTTCTTTTATTAAACAAGTTTGGATTCTGTTTTGTAGGTTTTTTATATATATCCATTTTTACAGGTGTGAACACGAGCTTGAACTCGACTCTTTTATTAAACAAGTTTGATTCTGTTTTGTAGGTTTTCAACGAAATAAACAGCCGGGACATGGAGAAGATAAATGTTTTCCAGAGAGTGTTCGATAGCTGGGTATTCTTGGGGGTGATATTTTCTACAGTAGCTTTCCAAATAATAATGGTGGAATTGCTGGGAACATTTGCTGATACAGTGCCACTAAGCTGGGAGTTATGGTTGGCCAGTGTATTGATTGGAGCTGCAAGCTTAGTTATTGCTGTTGTTTTGAAGTGCATTCCTGTTCAAAGCACCAATGCTGACCAAATCTCTGACCATCATCATGTTTATCAACCTCTTCCTAGTGGTCCTGATATGGCATAAAATGTTTTTTCCATTTTATTTTCTTTTATTGAACAATAGCAGAATATTCGTCAGTACCCTTCAATTGTTCAATTCTTTGCTTGGAATAGGAAAGTTCTAAGGTTTACTTGCCTTTTCTTTTTTGCTTTTGCTAGCATTTCACTTTTTGTGACTTTTTAATTGTTGTATTATCATTCAAGTCCAGGCTTAAGGCTATATTAGTTGGTCTTAAATTGGGAGTGCCCATTAGTCTATTCACTACAACAAAGGATATCTATGGAAGGTTTTTCTTTTTCCCTATTAGGGTGGTTTAAAGCCCCGCTGCCAAACCTAGGGGCGGTTCCAACAACCGCCTGTTGACCATCATTTATTACACCGTCTCTACATTTTGAAGTGCGGTTTTTGGATCCATCGGGGTAGATACCAAACTAGGGGTTGAATAGAATGCTACAAGCATAAATGTTAGGCATTTGCGTTTACTGCTAAAAATGTATAATTTTGGTGGTTTGTTATACATAAGGCAGTTCATAGTGCCCCTATATTTTTGTCCTCAAAAAATTCTACTGTAACATATTTTTTTGTAAAGGCAGCTTCAATTGCCGTTATATTTTTTTCACCAATTTTGTAATAAGGGCAGTATAAATGGCCGCTATATTATTTGATACCAAATTTTTAAACAATTGATAGTTATTTGTAGAGCCATTGGAAGCTACTATTATATTTTTATAGCGCCAATTTTTTTAAACCTTTTGTAATTATTTACCGAGGTGTAAACCATTGCTTTATTATTTCGCATGAATTTTTAGGATTGATCTAAATCGGTTAGGGTGTTTTCTAAATGCCTCTTGGCATTTTCACATCTAACCTTTTAAATTTATCATTTGAAATTGATTGTCTAAATACATAATTTTCGACCATTTATTTTCTGAGTCGAACATAACATTTCCATCCTTTAGCATGTGCATTCTTCTTCTCCTTTACATGAGCAGTATTTGTCTCACATTTTCTAAACCAAAAATTCATTCTATTATAAAATATTCTACTGCAAAAGTAAATATTAAATATAAATTCTAACCTAACTTTCCTCAATATTACCATCCATTAACTATACAACATCCAATATCCGGTCCGCTGGACTGGATAATAAGCGCTACATTAGGTCCCACATCGGAGGTACTGGACCCCACATGCATACATGCTTAACCAATTAAAACTTTTATTAATTTTCCAAAAATAATTTAGAAAAATTTTCAGAGAATTCTTGTAGTTTTCAGCATCCCAAAATCATAAAACAATTTCACTTTTATAAATCTGTCCACAGCATCAACTATATTTCCAAAATAATTCTCCACCACCACGACTCATCAATTCATCCATCATGTTCCACAAAACCCAACACATGAATAAATTATTTTTATTTAATTAAAAATATTAAAAATATTTTACATACCATAAAATATTCTAGCTCTAACAAAATCTCCAAAGCTTAAGTATATTTACATGCCGCTAAAAAATCTTAAAAGACGGAAAAAAGAGATCAAGCATCAAACTAACTGCATAAGAAATATGACCCTCCGAATAATCTAATGCTCTCTCTGTGGATCGCCTACCCAATATATCAGCAATCTGCATATAACAAGCCAATGCACTAAGCATAAATTTTGGTGTTCTCCATTTATATCAAGAAAATACATATAAGCATTCATGATATCACACATTATTATAACACAATATTTTATCATAATCAGACAATATTCAACATTTATAATATGATTTGGTTGCATAAATAAATATTCATATGCGGCATTAATATAAAATCCAACAATTACTCATCATCAATCAATAACATAAAATCATACTTGGTCATAATTTCATATAAGTAAACATATTTCAATAAGCTGTATATTTAATTATTTTATAGACATTGTATTATAAATTTGACCACTACCACACTTAGAATAACCAAATGGCATACAGAAAAACATCACACAACCCTATCGTATGTCAAACTTTTATACTACCTCTGATATTAACCAAGTCAACTAAAACTGGTAAAAAGATTCGTTATATTTAATTATTTTCATATCATATATGTAACAATATTTATAATAAAATAGAAAAATTATGATTTTATCTTTGTATTTTATCAAAATTAATTAGCCCACTCTCGCGGTCTTAGAAATATATTATTTTGCCTCTAACTTTTGATTCCATTAAACACACCTATATCCTTCCGTCTAATTTTTCCACTCTTTCCATTAAATATCCTATAAAAAGATAAATTTCCTCATCTTCTACATCTCAACCCTCTTGCTCTTCCATCTCAATCCTTTAACCCAGGAAAAAAAAAAAACCACAAAATTTAAATAGAAGAAAAAGAAAAAAGGAGCAACAAAAATGAACTAATGAATAATTTATGATACTGTAGTATTCAGTTGGTTTTTGCTATTATTAAACAGAGAAATGATGCTATTCAAAAATCAATTGCTCTTTATCTGCTTATGCCTGGCTTTTGACATTTTTGTCTGTTCGTCCAGCTACAACAGATTTGAATTTCCCCCAATATTTCATCGTGATGAGGACACCAATCCAGATGAATTAAGGGTACATGTGCTTCCTCCTTGAACATTCAGTTTCAGAGCAATTCTTTCAAATCAGTCCTGTTATTGTCATACCGTCGAATCCACGTGGTACCCCTCCTATAATGGCCCAATAGATTCGCCAGTCCTCTTGGTAGTTTGGAATTTAGCTCCACCTAGTTAATCATGGAGTCTACTTAACCAATGATCTTGTATCCTATATGGCCATGATGAATATTCCACATCTTACTCATTAATTTGATCAAGTATTGCAGCCATAGCATCAGCTGGTGTGCCTTATCTCCTTGCTAATTGGGTTATTTACCTTAATCTTTAAATTTTGTTGTTGTTTGTTTTTTTTTAGGTAAAGGATTGAGATGGAAGAGGGAGAGGGTTGAAATGTAGAAGATGAGGACAATTTTGTCTTTTTATAGGATATTTAACGGAAAAATGAAAAAATTAGATAAAATAGTACAAGTGTTTAACGAAATCAAAAGTTAGGAGCAAAATAATATATTTCTAAAATCGCGATAGTATGCTAGTTAATTTCGGCAAAATACAAAGATAAAATAGTAATTTTTCCTAATAAAATCTTCAGTCTCATAATTACACTGATATATTTTAACATAGTCCAAAAAATCATATTTTTCATACGAAAATATTCCATCATGATCAAATTTCCATAAATCACCATTTAATCATGTTAACATACAATAATAAAATATATTAAAATAATAATAATAGATTCCTAAATAAACTCTAACTAATAGATAATGTAGAATGCATAATCCTTTCTTAACACGACTATCCTAAATCCAGTATATATACTCCAAATTTACCCCAAGGACAGATTAATTCACAATTTATTACACCTCAAATTCTGAGAGCTTAATAATTGGTGCGATGAGCGTAGAACATTCCTTCAAACCCTAAAAAAATTTCCACAGTTTTTCTCGATTCCTATGGCTAATGATTCCACTAAACGCCTCAACATGGAAGGCCAAGACAATACAAACGGCGAGGCCAACCAATAACCCACATTTGCTCCTCCAACAACCACTGATCCCCAAGTAGCAGCTGCTCTAGCTCAGACTTATTCGTAATTCACCACCATGCTGAAATGTCTCTTGGAGAACCCTTAGCCTAATGGCGAGCTAGTACCACCCACTAGGCTAGCGAACCCTCCCCACCTAGAACATAGCCTCCCTCCCACCTCGCCTAACTGCTGAAGTCATTCAATGTCTGATCGATACCATGAGGCGGAATCGGAGGTAGATCCTAGGGCGACTAACCCCAGTAGCCAAGAGCTAAGTCACACTCAGCCAATCTTGGACGGAGCTAATCTCCAGAGTGTTGTCAAGGAATTAGGTCGAGAGTGTAGAGAGATAGGAGAAATAGGGGATTATGGTCTCCAACAAGACTCGCCCTTGTCAACTGATATTTTGGCTACAGCCTTCCCACCAAAGTTCAAACTTCCTACTTTCCAATCATATGATAGATCTATCGATCCTTGAAGCCATCTGGCGATCTTCCAAATAATGATGTACCTTCAAACCAACTCAGAGGATCTAATGTGCAAGGTCTTCCCAACTACCCTGAAAGGAGCAGCTTAAGAGTGGTATCAAACACGCAAGACAAGATCTGTTCATTCCTACTCCCAGTTAGCCACAGCATTCTGCGCTCGTTTCATAACTTGTGTACCATCCAGAAAAATATCATCTGACTTGGTAGATTTAAAAAGAGAAGAGGGGGAGACCCTAAGGCAATCCGTATCCAAATTTCAAAGAATGGCGATGCAAGTGGAGAACTTGAATGATAAGGTGGCCATTAGCACTATGGTAAAGAATTATAGGTACAACAAGTTGTTTGAGAGTTTAAGTATAGACCCCCCCCTGACCTTTGCTGAACTCATGGTGTGAGCTCATAAATACACCAAATTAGATGAAGCCTATGAGGCAAAACATCATAGATTGCCTAAAGAAGAGAGGTATAGACACAGAAGACACCTATCCCAGGTAAGGAGACGATCAGCCCAAAGGAGGTCGCCCATCCGACTCCCACGAACCAGTTACTCTATTTGAACGCTATACTCAAGAGATGGCAGACCATAACAAGATCGAGAGTTTACCCCTTTGAACAGACCGCACTTGAAAATATTGTCCTGGGTAAGAGAATAGGGTGATCAAATTCAGTTCTATTATCCTAGAAAGATGAAGGAGGATACCTCGAGCCATCGAAATAAGAGTAAGTATTATGAGTTCCATAGGGATGTAGGCCAGGAGACCGAAGCTTGCTGGCAATTAGAGAAAGAGATAGAACGTCTTGTGCAAAAAGGTGAACTAAAGCAATTTGTTGGGAGAGCTCGGAGGTAAAGTGAACAGAAGGACAAGCAGGTGAAAGAATGTCATACCCTGGGCACAATCCATACCATATTTGGTGGCTCATCGAGGGTGACAGCAATCCAGCTAGGAAAAGGAAAGCTAAGGAAATCTATTCCATTTTACCCCAACAGAAATCGAGTGCTAAGTCACCCATATCATTCTCTGAGGCAGATGGCTAACTTGTGCATACCCCACACAATGATGCCCTAGTAATTGAGTGAATTTTGGAAAACTTTCTAATAAAAAAAATTTTGATGGATGAAGGTAGGCAATGAACTTATTGACCATGGAAGTGTTTAAGGCTTTGAAACTAGACCAGGTGAAGCTTAAACCTGTCCGA